CACAGGTCTCAGTTTCTACCTCAGCATGTCCAGTCCTCTATGAATACATATGTCACTGAATAATGTCACAATGCTTTTTTTCTTTCAGCACTGTCTTGTTTTAGAGAACAGTTTTAAAAAGAGAATGAGAGGGCAACATCTGAGATGGAAATTTGCACAATCCACTCTTTTCTGGACTGTCAAATTTACAAAAATATTGAGATATTAAAACCACAGCAAGTATATTTAAATGTGCTATCATTAAGGCATCTATAAAAATAGCTCAATATTCTATAACATAGGATTTTAGAGGTTGTTTTGTCATCTTAATATTATGTCCCGGGTTGTTTTGAGTTGTTTGGGGATTTGATTTATTAATTCTAGTTTCATTATTATTCTATGTTCCTTTGTCTCTTTCTTTGATTAGATCAGCCTTGTTTCTGTTTTTACTTTAGTTGAGCTCTTTCTTAGTACCTCCAGATTTTCTTGTGTCTAGTTCATCTTTGTAACGACTTTAACTATGTCTCTTATCATTCTTTTGTATTCGATTTATTTTCTAGTCCCTGTGTACTTTCCCTCAATCCCTGTGCCGCTCTCTCTGTCTCTTCTCAGCCTGCCGTCTGCTCTCTCCCCTCACGCCTGCAGTCAGTTAGCTATTCTGCACATGTCCATTGTTCCACATTCACTCTCCCAGCATTAAAACACTTTTGCTCCTCTCACTCTTTGCTAGTTATTCCTGTTAAATCTAAGTCAGTATTATAACATGTGAATCTGACAAGGGATTCATTCATTCATGTTACTCTTTTTTGTTCCACACCTTATCACTATTTGCACAGAGCAAACCTGACAACTGAACAAGCTTTAACATAACAACATTTTGTGGCATCTAGAAAGTATGTTGATGAAATGTTGACTATAAAGTGCTAATGACTTACTAATAATTTGGAAGGTACAAAACTTATATTGTCTTTAATTAGTTTTGCTTATGGATGACTTTAGTTATGATGCTTTTGTTTTGAAGGGACAAGTTCTTGTTTAACTGTTTAACTTTTGTCTCTAGACAGAGACAAAAGGGACCTTTATGATGTAAATGTGAACTTGTTTTAAGTAGTGTGACATAAACTGGGCATTTGTTTAATGATATGCCAAAATCAGGCTAATTTACATTTTAAATGTCATTTTAAGTTAAAAGAAATCAGTAAAGAATGTTACAACTAGTATGGCTTAACTTAATCACAATACATTTTTTCTTTATCTGTCTTTTTTCTAACAGAGTTCATATGGATCATTTTAAAATTAATAATGGCATTTTCAAATATTGTAATATTGTTACAATAGTACATGCAGAGTGATTAAAAAAGGACCAAAACAGAGAAATAAGAAAACACAATCATGGACATTCATGTTTCTGGTTGACATGAGCGCTGACTGAACAGATGATGCTCCAGGCTTAACGAAGCGCGCCTCTTAGCCTGGTTACTGCTTTTGTGAAACTGAATTGATGCTTAATTGGACGAGGATACCTGGAAAATCCTGACTTAATCTGCTATCCTAGTTTTGTGAAATAAACCTCAAGTGTGGTTTGCTTTCACACTGTCAAACAATTCAAACCACTTAAATATGTTTCACTTCACCTTTTGTAATTACTTACAATCATGTTAAATTCAGCAAATATAAATAATCATGTAAATTATGCTTAACATATAGTTGTAAAGCAGTAACTTATCTTGCAAATTATACTTAACATCATATAAGTACTGCCACAGACTGGCGACCCGTCCAGGTGACCCCGCCTCTCGCCCGGAACGCAGCTGGAGAGGCACCAGCACCTCCAGACCCCGTTAGGGAGAAGGGTGACCAGAAGATGGATGGATGGATCATATAAGTATAAGGAAGTCAAAACAACCATAGATGTAGAAATCAGCTTATTCATGCTTTTGGGTCTTTAAGTGTTTTATTCACCTACAGTTACAGTTAAAATGTTGCATCTAAATAATTAGAATACCACCAAGAATGAATATATGAAGTCATTGTTATATATGATTGTCTCCTATAAATTCTGATTCCCCAAACTTCATCTTCTGTGGAATCAATTGCATTTTCTGGACTTGTATTTTGCTTAACTGAGTTTTAAACGAAGAGGGAAATTTGAATAAATATGTCTGTGATTGGCTAATGATAACTGTGCCTGGTGGATACATATTGGCTGTGGAGTTTCTTGAAGTCATGAGTGAAATGTTATAGCTTTCAGTGATTCAACTTTTGAATGATTATGATCAGAGCAAACAATTTTACAAGCTGACATAAAATAATGCGTAAAATATACATTGAGGAAGTCATGGGTGATCAATTCATTTGAAATAAGAATTTGGAAACATTGGACCAAAAATGTTTCAGAAGGAAAACAGATGACCAGTAACGGCTTAGCTTCCTGGATTTTATGCACATTAAATGATAACTTCATTCATTTTCTGTCAGGATCCTGGGTTGTTTGTGTTGTACTTTGATTTCTTCATCGCTTTATTATCATTTTGCATTTCTTTCTTATTTTGTTTAGAACTGTTTTTCATTTAGTTTGTGTTTTTAACTCTGTTTATGTCTGATAGTTATTTTTGATGACTTGAGTTTTATTTTACTGTAGTTATTCTTCAGCGATAGATACATTTCTGCTCCCCTGTGTACACTCCCTCGCCCCCTGTGCCATTTTCTCTCTCTCTCCTCAGGCTGCCTCCTGCTCCCTTCACTCACACCTGCAACCGGATCGCTCATCAGCCCAGGTCTCTTGTTCAGCGTTCAATCTCCTCAGTATTTAAGCTTATCATTCTCAGACGTACCTTACCGGAGCTTCTCCTCTTCTCCCGTCTGTCCCCTCAGATTCCATAGTTGTGTTCCTTTGTGCATTTTGGATTTTTTTTTCTGTAAGTTTCTTCCTCTTTTTTTATTAAAATCACCAAAAACTCAACTCAGTGCTCCACGCCCACTACATTTGGGTCCTCTCCACAACACTCAACATGACATTTTGATGGGCAAAGCAAAGATGAAGGAAGGTAGGGCACTGGATGGAAACACCAAATGTCAAATGTAATAAGTCTCAGTGTGACTCTGCACTGCAGTGACTGTCAGTTTAAGATCTGTTTCCAGGCAACTGACTATTATTTTAGTCTCTGGATAGACGCTTGAGGATAAAGTTCTGGGCAAAAAAGCTTTACCTTTCTGCATACACCAGCCTGAGTACCTCTCATTCTTTAAAGCAAAGCTGCTTAGCCACTGTTTTCCTTTGTAAAAAAAAAAAAAAAAATGTGTCTGTTATCAACATGCTGGAAGTGGTTATATGGGTTAACATAAGAAGGTTGGGTCCCAGGGGTATTCACTGCACACAGTTATTTGATTTGCTCCTGCAGCCACAGCTTAGTCCTGACTAAGTGCTGTGCAGAGGCATATGGCCAGGCTTGTGCGGGCCTAATTACAGACATTATCTCATTTGCTATTGTAAGGGACTGTTGTGCCATCTTCCACTTATTTAATTAGTCTTTTCACATGTTGGATGTGGGCAGCTTAGGAGGAAAATGTGACATATGGAAAGAAAAATGTACATTTTGGAGTTCTGGTTAGGGATTTAAATGGTTGAATCTTTTTTTCTTGCTACAGATTAATTTGTCAAACAATTAGCTGTCCTTTTCTCCATTTGGTGGTACTGATCAAACAAATACTCTGAAACATTCTTTACATTGCCAGTGTGCTGTCTTTTCCCATTTAACTTGATGGCTTAAAAGAGCCTCCTACTCCTGGCTTCCACTCCACTTGATCACCTCATTTGCATTTTATATTGGTAAATCAAATTAAGCACCGGCAGCTTTTAACATGATTGACTGCAGCCAGGGCTGCTCAGATGGGACTTATTCTGCACAGAAAATTAGACCATTTAATGTGCAGAGCAGAGAGCTTGGCTCCCCTCACTTTCAGCAAATCACATTCACTCAGCTAATTAAAATGATTTTTCCCTTCTTTTTGTCAGTGTTTGCCAAAGGGCTTTGATAGATTTCCCCACCTGCTATTTTACTGTACATCTCATTTTCCTGCACTCTCTCTCCACACTGTGTTTCTGCTGTTCTCTGGCTGACATGCATCATGTCTGTTTAGCTATATTCTATGTCGCATACACTCAAACTTTTCACTGTCCAGATCTTGATCACACTTTTTCCAGAAAAATAGCTGCACCAAGTTTTATCTGGAAGACTATTAAATATAGTTAAAAACTAAAGGCATCATTTGATTGTATTTTTTTCAGAAATACAGTCAACAGTTTTATTTTAATGACTTTTAGATGGACATTGTGAGTATTGATTGGTTTATCATATCTAAACATATGAAATTAGAATTAAAGGTTTGTGATGTGGATATGACATGAACAAAATCCGATGTCTAGTAAATCATATTAAATGCTATACATATTTTTACTTTCCTTTGTGAAACATAAATATAATAAGGACATCAAAACTTAATGTACTTAAAGCCAGCCTAATCATCAGTAAACTTAAGAATTATTTAGCTTAGACTATGTTATTTTGGAACAACTAAAATTGTGCTTAAAGTATTTTAATTGTAAATCAAATTATAGAAAATCACAATATGCAGTGCTAGAAGTGCAGTATTATGTGGTAAAGTGGAGTAACTGCAGGTAATTTCTGTACAGTTTTAAATTGCATTTAAAATGTCTTCTAAAAATGTAAACATTATATAGTTTAATTAATACTGTGATCACAGTATGCTCCATATAAACTTTTGGCTTATTATAATTGGTAATGAAGTACTCTTCACTACTATGTAACTTTGTCCATTATATGCGTCACTATAGTACAGCAGACATATCAGCTTCCAGTATTCAGCACACAGCAGGATGAATTACATAAACGACTACTCCACACACTTTAAAAGGTGAAAAAAATATATTCAATAAATTCACATTTTTTCAAGAGTGCATTGCCAATATACTTTCACAAAATTATACAAACTGCCAAGAATTAAAAGTTTACAGATAATAAGATCAAAAAATTTGCACAATGAAAAAAATCACTTCAGAGAAAAGGTGGAAAATATTTAATCAAGAAAAGAATCTAGTTTTAATTCAACGTCACAGTTTTCCAGTGTTACTCCAGACAAACTGTCATCCTAAGAACACCGAGGATCCATGACGGAACATTCCCGTTCACTGAGCACACAAAAACACAACCCCTTTGATTTGATTGAAGTTTGATTCTAGATGTTACTTGATATGATTCATTTGACAGGTTATTTCATGCATTGTTACCACTAAATCGAAATGTGCAGCATTGATCTGGAGTTACCTTGACAACGGCTTGTTACAGAAACCTACAAAAAAGAATAAAACAATATTGGAATCAAACACAAAGTATCACACTTGCACTTTTAAGAATACCAAAAACAGCTTAGAAAATAGTATGACTTACTATTTTAGGACGTTGTGGATTCACTATGTATATTGCATCATCTGAACTGCTGTGATGATGGTGAAGGTAAAAAAAACATTTCTGGGTGCCTTATTTGTGTATATGATAAAAGCAGAAAATATAGTTGCTAATATCATAAAATCAGTTGATGCTGGCTTTAACTTTTAAGAGTGGACTTGAGGGAGACAAATTTCAAGTTATACATACATTATCCTTGCAGGGTCTTGGGGAGTCGGGGGGACTAGTGCCCATCTCCAACAGTCACCGGATGAGAGGCGGGTTTGATCATGGCCAGGTCACCAGATCATAGCACCAATGAGAGCACATAAGAGAAATGGTAGGAATAAATGCTGTTCAAATATTTTCAATGTTTGTTTAGTACTTTGTACTGTTAGAAACAGACCACTGTCTGTTGTTAAAATGGAGCCAGGAAAAAAAAAACCCAAAACAAAGCTACATCATAAAACGGTTGTGGAGACGTTCATCCTCAAAACAACGGCCTGGCTGATCTTGTGCAGCCCGGGCCGTTTTCTGAGACTGAAAACTTTAGGTTTTGTTATACCTGATTCCTGATTGATCAGGTTCATTTGCTTAGACTGTCAAAAATATGTGAACATAAAAACAATTTGTTTATTTATGTACTGCACTGTCATAACTAAATGAAGATAATTAGCATTGCTAATGTACCTGGGTCTATATTAATAGTTGTATATTTTCTTTAATGTATTTGTCCACTTAAACTTAAACTTGTGTTCCTCTGTGTCTGATATGAGGGGTGTTGTCCTCCAGCTCTGCCTTACTTTCTTCTTCTCTTGTTCATGCTCCTCCAGGACTAATATAAATATTAAGTTATTAATTTCCTCCTCCCTTTTGTTAGTCGTTCCCCTGGGGAGAGGCAAGTTTTATAATCCTCAAATGTTTATTTTTTCTTATGTATTAATGATAGGTGTCTGGATATTTTCATTTGAGTCTTTATAACATGTGATGGATGCTAACACTATTATTTTGTATAGATCAGGTTGGAGAACTGGAGCAGATGCTATGTGCTAAAACTAATATCTCCCGAATGACAGATTAATAAACAGAGACCGCCTCCAAACCCATACTTGGTGTTTTGTCCGATCACCACATAACACTCACGACACAGAAGTTCACTGGTCACACTAAGCAAACTTATCACTAGCGAGCAACACATTTTATTTCCATCCAGTTCTTCTCCTGTTGTGTATTCATCTAACTCGAGCTCCGTCACCAGCTTGAATTTAACAAAACTAATAACCATTATCAAGGTGCTCTCTACTTTTAAGGCAATGTTGTGCAAATAAATAATGGGAATTTGAAGAGCATTTCCTCTTCTCATGATACTGTTCTTCTTCTATTAGAGTTGTTTATGACAGTTTTCAAAAGAATGAAGTTGCCCCTTACCGCTACCATCTGATATGAAATGTGAACTGGAGCTAATGCCGTTCACTAATAGAATTTGCATCTGAAAATGAATTCTCTGGGTTGACATCTTCTGTGTTTGAAGAACTGAGAAAAACAGATTACATTGGAAGAGTGTAAAACTGAAGACAGCTTCTGTCATGAAGTATGAAATGTTTGATGTTGGACCCAAAAGCTGAAATGGAAATAACCGATGATTTTGGAGGTGAAAAGATACAAGTTACAAAAATCACAGGGAGCCAAGGCAAAAAAAAAAAAAAATTATGAAGGATTCGGCAAGTAGTGAGTGAGGTTTAAATGAAGAGGTTGAATACTGAACAAAAGACCTGAGCTGATGAGGAAACTGACTGCAGGTGTGACTGAAGGAAGCAGAAGACAAACTGAGGAGAGGGAGAAAGAAAGTGACACGGGGGGCGAGGGATCGAACACAAGACAACAGGAAGAATTTCTAACGCTAAAGAATAACTTGATTAAAAAACCTGCCTTAATAAAACTAGAGTAAGAAAGAATAAATAAACATTACAAAGAACTGAAGGAAAGCAGGAATAAGACAAATCTAATCAAAATAATAAACTGACTTTATTGTTGTGTCATTATTACTTTGTTAAACTTCAAAACAACCTAACAATTTGGGATCCTGACAAAATTTAAAGACAAAATTGACACCGACTCTGTTTTTGTTGTAGAACCTCTTTCCACTAATCTGTAAATATTTGTTTTGAAGCAGGAACAAATTATTACATTTGTTAAACTACGTTACTTTAAGTACCATTATAAGGACCGTTTCATTTTTGTTATGGTTTTACCATTCTAACAAAATGGTAAAAGATTTTTAAGGTAAACTTTGTTAGAACATAGTAGCATGTATGTAAACACAAAGTGTTTCACTAAAATATAATTAGATACTATAATTACAAATATTATTGAAAAGTATTTATTTTGAGATTTATTAAGGTTTACAAAAACATACAGATAACCTATCTGAAAGTATAACTCAAAGTACAACTTAAGAATAATGAAGTCTAGACGTAAATTCAAGCCGGGAGATTTTCTCCTCCTACCTGCATCATCCAATTGCCACACCTCTGCCAGAGCCAACCAGCACCAAGTTGCTGCTTCGGCTCAGCCACTCATCACTCCAGAACCTTTTTATAAGGCCAAACAACCATTGGATCCACCTGCTTTCCAGCCATGCTTTGATTATTATGCTTTGATTATGTCAGACTTTGACTCAGATGACCCCACTCTTTTGCTTCCTGGCCCCTGGTGGAGCAGTGCTGTTTGTCTTCTTGGTCCAGCCCTATGTCCCCCCAGCCCACCTGACTTGTTTTGGTGGGGAAGACTCCCCTCACCACCAAGTGGATGAAGACCTCGCCCTGAGATGTTTATCCAAGCACATCTTCTGCCAAATAACTTCAAGTCAGATAAAACTTTCTAACTGCTGCTCTTTCTCTGTGTGAGCCTGTCCAGATTGAAATATTTGTAATATATTTTTAAAGTCTACATTTAAAAGATAATTTTTTATAAATAAATGAAAAGGGAATTTTAAAAAGTATTATCAAAATTTAGTAATATATTTAATTAGAATATAAAGTATATTTTTGAAAAAATATATCTTTAGTGTACCAATATACACTAAAAGTACCAATAAACATTTTTAAATAGAGCATTGAAAGCATGTTTTTAAAAATGTATTATTTTACATTCTTAATATAATCTCAAGTACATCCACTTGATAACATACTAAAATGTATTTCAGAAAAATACAGTATATTAAGACATACTTGAACGTATTATTTTTCACGTGTTTAGATAACTGCCATAGGCAGAAATGTACACCACTCGTCTCTGATTTGTTTTGGGACATTTTGATGATCATCATTAGGGTAGGAACCAGAAGCCCTGAGAGGTCAACCTTCCAGATTCTCAGGTTCTGGTTCTGGTTCTGCTCTGCATCCCCAGAACCAGAACCAAGAGAGGAGAAGCAGCTTTCAGCATCTATGCACCAAAAATTTGGAACAAACTTCCAGAAACCTGTAAAACAGCAGAAACCCTGACTTCCTTTAAATCTCAACTAAAAACACACCTGATTAGAGTTTGATTTGAAAAGTAATCAATTAAAAATGTAATGATGTAACAATGTATTGTTTATTCTATGTTGCATGACTTTGTGTTTTTGTGTTTATGATGTAAAGCACTTTGAAATGCCTTGTTGCTGAAATGTGCTATACAAATAACATTTGATTGATTGATTGATTGATTGATTGCTCCTGGATTTGAGCAATTTCTGGTTCATGTTTGTTTGCCTCACATGTGGCCTTAAAAAAGTCATAAAACTCTTAAGACACAGAATTCCTACCTTCTGGAATTCATGTTATGTTGATATGTGCAGCATGTAAATGTTTTAATTTTCAATCATGACCACTAATCTGTGTATTGCAGCACAGGATCATAATGGGCACAGTTGCTTTCTTTGCTCTTCATCATTTCATAACTTCATCATCTTTATATGGCCAGGAGAAAATGGCCCCTTCGTATGCTTGATATTTTTTGCTGACCATCAGTTCTACCCATAGGGGAGCTTTTAGTAAGTTGTAAATATTTAAACAGAAACTGTTATCTGTTGCTGTTTGGTGGGAGGGAACGAGTAAGTGAAAAATACTTGTACTTCACTACAACATACTTGTGGTGAAGTACAAGTACTTTGTTACTGTACAGAAGTACATTTTTACATATCTGGGCTTTGCTTAATTGTGGGTACTTTTGACTTTTACTCTGCTACATTTACTATTAAATATCTGTACTTTCTACTCCACTACTTTTCAATAATATGTTGCTATATACTACATTCAAATCGCATTGTCTTTTTTGATCAGTTTATGAGTATGAAAGTAACTGACTTATTTGAGGTAGCAGGTTAAAAAAAAAGAAAAAAGTTTGAGTCCAAGTTTTGAGAATAGTGTTGGTGTTAAATATTTTATTATTAATGTTTATTTTCTGTAAACCCATTACAAGGTTGAGTATACAATATAATTTTTAACTATGACAATGAAATACTGGAGTTCAAATTCTCAGGGCAGATTTTTTTTTCTAGATAAAAATAAAGACAAGATTTGACATTGCAGGTGGTAAAAATCCTGGTCAACTGTATGTACACAATAAAAAACTAAAAAACTAAAAACTAGGTTAGTAATACTTACACAAGGGAGAGATGACTGATTTCTGAAAAGGGGGGGAAAGGTTTCAAAGCTACCTGTGTAAAAATATGAAAAAGAGTACAGAAATACTTCAACATTTTAAAAGAGACAAAGTTATGTGTTGCTGAAATGGAAGCAGAAGAAAAATGCTGTTCCATGGGGAATATTCCCACTGGAAATAATAGGTGCAGCACACTGCCGACACCAGGCACTTCCCTGGAACACAACAGTCAGCTTAATTGCAGCTTTTAGGATCATTACTGCTCCCATGTGACTGTCAAAATGGACAAGGCTGGTGGGCCTTTGACAAACAGGCAACCACCACCCACCGTTCTACAGTCACAAGGGGCAGACTCATAACTAGGAGAAAAATACCTTTCTTGTTTGTTGTCCTCTCTTGCCTTTAAATCAGAGAGAAAAAATGCCACTGAATCCATTTTAGAAAACAGGATCTTGTTGCTATATATTCTTCCAAAGTCTTTCCAATTTCTGTGTCTTTGTAATTTGGGTCAACATTGCTATTATTAGATACAAATACAAGTATGCTAAAAGATGAAATGTACTAATGTTTGTCCTCTAATATATCTTGAGCAATTTAATTCATTCACTGTATGTGTGTGTGTGCATGTGTACAATACTGCCTTTCCTCTCTGTTTTACTTTCCTGACCTTTGGAGATTTGAGTTGTCATGGCTG